TACCTGCAACGTGTATTTTGTGCAGCCTCGGATGGAAGGAAGGGACAAGGGGGCGGGAAGAGGATGGAGCACGAGATTAGCAGGAGGGGTGCAAGTGCAGAAACACGTGGCAGAACCAGACGGGCAGATCGGGCGGGTAGACCCTGACGGGCGGGCCCTGGGAGGAGCACTGGGAGGAATAACAACAATTATTCGTTCGCAATGAAAACTCAACAAACAACAACGCAACAACCATCAGCACCGCGGAACCCCACTTAAGCCACGCACCAAGGGACAGTGAATGACCATTCGCCCTCCTCACTCTGACTGGCCACATGTTAGTCTCCTGGAGAGGAGGGGAGCCGAATTCAGGAGCTCCCCTCCTTTGATCGATCTCCTCCAAGATGACCCAAGATGGCACCCGAGGCTCCCAAGGATGCCCCAAGACGGTGCCCAAGAGGTGCCCAAGAGGCCCGAAGAGGCCCGCAAGAGGCCCCAAAACTACCTCCAAGAGACTCCCAAGAGACCCCTAAGAGGTCTCAAGAGGCACCAAGAGGCCCCCAAGACGCCTCAAGAGACTTCTGGGACTGCCAAGAAACCTCGAGGACGCCCACAGAGGATTCCAAGAAGCTCTCGAAAGACATCCGACGAGACGTCGAAAAGGCAGCACGAGGCCTCTAGCATTTCGGCTCGCATCCTCCTTCTTCTCCTCCTCCTACTCGTCCTCATCCTCCTCATCCTCATCCTCCTCATCCTCATCCTCCTCTTCCTCCTCATAACAAGCATTGAAAAACTGTGTGCCCTTATCTGCTCGAGTGCAACTATCCAAGTATCTCCCAAACCTTCGGTACCCGCCCTCTCCGTGTTCGATCATAACCCTTTCGGGGCATCCTTACCTGCAACGTGTATTTTGTGCAGCATCGGATGGAAGGAAGGGACAAGGGGGCGGGAAGAGGATGGAGCACGAGATTAGCAGGAGGGGTGCAAGTGCAGAAACACGTGGCAGAACCAGACGGGCAGATCGGGCGGGTAGACCCTGACGGGCGGGCCCTGGGAGGAGCACTGGGAGGAATAACAATAATCATTCGTTCGCAATGAAAACTCAACAAACAACAACGCAACAACCATCAGCACCGCGGAACCCCACTTAAGCCACGCACCAAGGGACAGTGAATGACCATTCGCCCTCCTCACTCTGACTGGCCACATGTTAGTCTCCTGGAGAGGGGGGGAGCCGAATTCAGGAGCTCCCCTCCTTTGATCGATCTCCTCCAAGATGACCCAAGATGGCACCCGAGGCTCCCAAGGATGCCCCAAGACGGTGCCCAAGAGGTGCCCAAGAGGCCCGAAGAGGCCCGCAAGAGGCCCGCAAGAGGCCCCAAAACTACCTCCAAGAGACTCCCAAGAGACCCCTAAGAGGCCTCAAGAGGCACCAAGAGGCCCCCAAGACGCCTCAAGAGACTTCTGGGACTGCCAAGAAACCTCGAGGACGCCCACAGAGGATTCCAAGAAGCTCTCGAAAGACATCCGACGAGACGTCGAAAAGGCAGCACGAGGCCTCTAGCATTTCAGCTCGCCTCCTCCTTCTTCTCCTCCTCCTCCTCCTCCTACTCGTCCTCATCCTCCTCATCCTCATCCTCCTCATCCTCATCCTCCTCTTCCTCCTCCTACTCGTCCTCCTCCTCCTCCTCCTTCTCTCCCTCCTCCTCCTCCTCCTCCTCATCCTCCTCCTCCTCCTCTTCATCCTCATCCTCATCCTCATCCTCATCCTCCTCCCGTTCCTCTTCCTCCTCCCGTTCCTCCTCTTCCTTTTCCTCATCTCATCCTCCTGTTCCTCCTCCTTCCTCATTCATCCTCCCCCTTCTCCTCTCCCTACTCCTCGTGCTCCTCCGATTCATCCTCCATTCCATCCCCCCTCTGGGGTACGACGTCTTACCGAGCCCGCTATTCCACTACATGCTCATCCACATCCCTGATCAGGGCAACTCGTCTGGGCATCGTTTCTGGATGGACGAGTGGGGTTCCGCGGAACGTCTAAATTGCAACACTCAAGAGATCAGTGGTGGTCAACTTCCATCGTCTCCAGCTCTGCGAATCCTCCTGCTGGCCGTGTTGCTTGCTATGCCCTGCATCCGGTCACTTCTCATCAGACTGAAAGGTGATGCATACGATTTAACACCACACATTGGGGCGGTCGTGAAGCATAATGCGGAACATATCCCGACCACCTGCCTGCCGGTGTTAATTGATGCAGTGTACTGCCTCATCGTGATTACATTAGTGACCCCGCTGTGATGCAGGTACACAATTGACTCCTACGTTTCTCAAGTTGCATTCGAACAAAGGTTGAAAGGAGCAGCCGTGTAAACTGTTCAGAACAAACGTGGGGATAGCGCGCTCTTTGGTTCGCAAGAACTAAAGTAGAATTACAAGCGTGTTCACGCGGGTACTGCCGCAGGGCAGAAAGGTCTCCCTTGCGACAGACGGCAAATTGTTATGTGACATGGGGGCTATATGTTATCCCACCAGCTCTCCAGGGCGTGAGTGGTTTAGGGACGGTCTTCTTTCAACCCACGTCTTCCCTTTGGGGGAAGGGTTTGCCATCCCCCCTACCCCCTACCCCTGGACCTGGACTGGGGGCGCGCGGGCCGTTGGAGCATCCAAAACGGGTTCCGCGAGAGGGCCAACATCGTTGGTTTACTAAGGTATTGGCCACATGTTGGCCTCCTGGATCACCTCCAAGACGGCCCCAAGATGGCCCCGAGGCTCCAAGGGTGCCCCCTGACAGCTCCAAGAGGTGCCCAGGAGACCCCAAGGGGACCCCAAGATGTCCCCAAAGAGGCTCTCACGAGACCCCCAAGAGGCACCCAAGAGGCACCCAAGCGGCACCCAAGACGCCCCAAGACGTCCCAAAAGGGCCTCTGCGAGAAATCAACAATCATTGGCTGTATCAAGTTGCTGGCCCCACTGTGGCCTTATAGGTGGGGACCCTAATTAAGGAGTCCCTCTCCTTTGACAGATCTCCTCCAAGATGGTCAAAGGATGGCCCCCGAGGCTTCCAAGGGTGCCCCGATAGGTGCACAGGAGGCCCCAAGAGGCCCTCAAGATGCCCCCAAGAGGTTCCCAAGAGACTCAAAGAGGCCCCAGAATGCCCCCAGAAGCACCCAAGACGCCCCAAGAGGCCTCGGCGAGAAGGCCAAACTCATTGATGTTACAAACGGTTTGGCCCCATGTTGGCCTCCTTGGGGAGGAATTAAGGAGCCCCCCTCCTTTGATCGACCGACCTACTCCAGAATGGTCCCAAGATGGCCCCCGAGACGCCCAAGTGTTTCCCAAGGCGGCCCCAAGAGGTGCTGAGGAGGCTCCATGAGGCCCCCAAGATGCCCCCGAGAGGCTGCCAAGAAATCCCTAAGAGGCCCCAGGAGGCCCCAAGGCCCCCAAGACGCCTCATGAGGCCCTTGAACTGCCAAGAGACCCCCAAGACACCCCAAGAGGACTCCTAGAAGCTCTCAGAAGACATCCAAAGAGACTCCGGGAGGCATCCAAGAGGCCTCTGGTCTCTCTGCTCGCCCTCCTCCTCCTCCTCCTCCTCCTCCTCCTCCTCCTCCTCCTCCTCCTCCTACTCGGAGGCTCTGAGAGATGGCCAGCTTGACCCAGGTAGAGCGCCCTCTTTCTTGAGGGAGCGGGACGGGGCGTTCGTCGCGTCGCGGGCGAGCGGGGGGGGGGCGGAAGAAGAAACGACAGTAGGTGCGTGCTATCTGGCCCGAGTGTGGGCTCTCCACGCGTCTCGGCGCCAGCAGACCAATTCCCGCTTCTCTCGGGACCGTGGTCTGGGCTGGCGACTTTGGCGGCTCTGAGAGCCACATCGGCAGAAAACGTTTTGTAAGCCTCGATTCCAGTCTGCGTGGACAGAGACACCCGAGCTGCCAATGATGTTCGTTCGTTCGTTCCTCCTCCTCATCCTCCTCCTTCTCCTCCTCATCATCCGCCTGTTCGTCCTCCTTCCTCCTCCTTTGCTGCCCTTCCCCCTCTCCCTACTCCTCCTCTTCCTCCTCCTCCTTCTCCTCCTTCTCCTCCTCCATCCTACCCCGCTTGGGATATAACCTCTCACCCAGCCCTTGATTCCTCAGCATGCTACTCCACATCCCTGATCAGGGCTACTCGTCTGGGCAGCGTTTCTGGATGTGCTGGTGGGGTTACGCGAAAGCGTCCACAGTACAAACACTCATCCCTCCGCCTGCTCATCCTCCTCCCTCCTACTGTTCATCCTGCTCCTGCCTCTCCCTCATCCCCATCCCTCCTTCTCATCTTCCCTCCTCCTGCTCCTCCTTCCCCACTGCTGCTGCAGCCCTCTCGCTTGAAGATGACTCATCCTCGTTGCACCACCAGACGTGTCGGTAGGGCCAGCTGGGCACTTCACCTGAGGCTTCCCAGCCCCTTATGATCATGAAACTTGAAGCATCCAACAGGTACAAGGATGGAGGGCGGGTAGTTTCGAAGTTAACTCTCACCGTGGCGCCACGCACATTCGTCTCCAAGATGTTCAACAGCCATTGAGGTGGAGGGTCCCCCATATCTACGAGGATGGAGAACGATTCCTTCTCGAAATGAGGCTCCTCAAACTCATGGCCACGACTGTAAGACTGCACAAGCAATGTACACGGACGTCAGTCGCTTCGTTTTTCAAAACCGGGCTTTCTCACGAGACATATTTAACCGTGTGCCGAAACTACTCGGATAGCTGAGGGCGGCCCCATTTGATAGCGACATATTCCTTATAGCTAAGACGATGCAGGGAGAGTTTCTTTTCAAAATGGGACACTCGATTGAAAAGAAAGTCCATGGACTACTCGTCTTTCAAGAGAGAGCTTGCAATAGAGAGAAGGAAATAATGTTGGGGCTTGTGGACAGGGGGATTGCGGCGGAAGGATGTACTGCAGCATTCTTGGTGCATCCTCGCTTCACTCTGGTTCTCCTCCTCCTCCTCCTCCTCCTACTCCTGTTCACCCCACCACTGCCACTCGCGCATGACTCATGGAGGTCATGCCGTAGAAGATGGCGGTGACATCATCGAGCTTGCAGACGGAGACTCTGCTGCCGGGCCACTGGCGCAACTACTGTTTTTGGTGTGTTGTTTTACTGGCACCACTGCTTCTTGAACGGATGAAGAAGAGGAAGATTCACAACTCATAATTCAGAACTCGGCGAATCCTTCACGTGGGGACAAGCCTGAAAAGAGAGGAAACGACGACGACGACGACGACGACGCCGACGACGACGACACGGCAGGACAAATGCAGGACCCTAAACAAATAAGGGGCTGAGCGAAACAAGAGGAAGAAGAACAGGATTTTGAGAGGGAGTAAGGGAACGCCACCCCCTCTTCGTCTCGTCCCCGCTCCGTCGGATCACACTTGCACTGCTCGCCGCCGCATGAGGGTGCCTGCTCTCCTCCTGGCTCCCGCAGCGCACATCTCCCTCTCCCCCCCAGTGCCTGGCCTCGTCGCTACCCCCCTACCGGCTGCAGGAGCTGTCTCTACCGTGCCGAACATCAAACATCGGCCTCCAACGGTCCTGGAGATACAGTCAAAAACCCTAATAAGGACGCGCGGTAAGGACGCAAGACCCTTGGAAGCCGAAGTTGGGATTTTTGAGGCGGCGGACGACGAAAACCTCAAGGACGCAAGAGCAAGGAACAGCAACGACGCAAGGGTACCCTGAGCAAAGTCGCGCGTCCTTAATAGGGTTTTTGACTGTAAGGGCTGACGTCCAGCAAGAATCGCAGCGTCGGAGGTCTGAGGACGCGGGGGTCTGTGCAGATCTGCGCCCCCATAGGCGCCCTTGGGCCACTCACTCCTGTGACCTTCGACAGAAGCCTACAGGGCAGCTTTTGATTCGTAGGAATTTAAAAATATGGGATTTCTAATACATGATTAATGTATGAATAAATGTATGCATGAACTCATCGTTGTTTTTAAAACTAAATCCCTGCATTTTCAATACATGATCCGCACGCGGAGCATGTATTAAAAACGGCACTGTAGCCTCCCAGTGAAGCCTGTGGGACGGCCCAGGTCGACGGGGGAGGGGGGGATAAGACGTGTCCAGTGCTCCCCGCCACCACAGGCCCCGTAGAAGAGGTAGGACGAATGCAAAAAAGGAGTTGGGTGCACCAGGCAGCCAAAGGGTATGTTGTGGATGTGGGCCACGCCCACCGTTCCAGCAGTGGGTCGGGACACAGGAACCGCAAGAGCGATGACGGCGACAAAGATACACTTCAACGGAGCCAGTCCCCCATGGCACAGACGATTTGCAAGCCACGCTGATGGGACAGCTCCAGCGCAAGCGAAGGCAGCAAGACCGCTGACCTGCAAAGCGCGAAGACATCGAACGAAAAAAACATGAAAACTGGCTCTCGAGGACTCCAGGCGATCACATGATGCTCTGCGGCGATAGGAGCTATTTTAATCGAAAACAAGATAGTCAGCCGTTCTAAATGCTACGCCACAGGCGTCGTAAAAGACCAACCATACTGAAGTATTCGCACGCAGCTGCGAGGTGGGACATGGAAGGGAAGACGTAAGAGGGTACACGCTAGAATGAGTTCCGTCTGTCGCAAGCGACAGTGACAAGAGTACGGGTTGAGCAAATGCTGCTGCGCTCCGCTTGAAGCGGCAGCGGTCTGACACTCGCTTTGTTCCCTCTTCAATTCCGTTCACAGTCACAGGGGGAGGAGACGAGTGACGAATCCGCTAGCAGCATCAGGTTGAAATCACGCCAGCAGTGGCCGCACGGCGGCCAGCCCCGCAACCCAGCTAGTCGCTAGACTGCAGCACTCCGTCATGAGTCCGCCCAACGTGAAACAAAATATGAGTGGCCTCGCAAAGGTCATGCGTCCATAGATCCAGACGCCCGGACTTTTCCTAGAAACTGGGACGGGCCCGTGACCTGGCGCGGACTGCACGCGGCCACGCTATCCAACAGAACGCCTCATACGCCAGCCCCCCGAGAGCCAGGCTCTGCAATCGAACCCTGGCTCGCCCGGCATGGCGCGCATTTCTGCAGGTCATGCTTGAAGGGCTGAATCCGCCACCGCGCCTCTGGCACGAAGCGGGGTGCCCCTGGGCCCACGCAGAACTGAGAACCAAAATCGATCTTCAAAGGCCCTTGGCCAGTCGTCTCCCGGGCTTGCCCGGGGCCCTCCGGAATCGCCCGCGCCCCGCCCAAGAGTGCCCCAAAACGAGTCCAGATGGCTTCACGAGGCCCCCAAAATTGTCATAGGAGGCCCCGAATCGCCCCAAGATCGCACGATGATTCTGATGATGACCTTGTCTGCCACGGCGTGCCATGACTTGCCCCGAAGATGACGACTTTGTTGCCACGACTCGCCAAGACGATGATGCCCTCGGGCCGCCTCCACGAGGGGAGTGAAAGACCTCTTCCAAACGGGAGGCGGCCCGCGCGGGCGCGCCCGCCGCTCCCCCCCCCCCGCGGAGAGGTAGGTCGCCCGCGCTGCGGGGGCTGAGGGCCCGGGCGCGCGCCTAGTGCGCGCGGCCGGCCCGACGCTGTCGCTGCGTATAAAATGAAATGAAATGAAAAATACGCCCAACATGGTCTAAGAATGGCCCGGAAGGCGTCCAAGACACCACAAGAGGCCGCCAAGAGGCCCCCAGCGAGGGCTCCAAGTGTCAAGAAATAGTTGATTCTCCTTGAGTTGTTGAAAGCTGTTGGCGTTCCCGCCCGCTCGGCTTGCCGACGGCACTGGATGGCCCCGGAGGCCTCCGAGACCACCCCAAACTGGCCCAAGACGGCCACTTTGTGCCTCCGAGACCACCTTGGGCCTCCAAGACCCCAAGACGGCCCAGAGGCCTCCAAGACCACCACCTCCATAAGGGCCCCAAGACGGCCTAAAAACGCCCCCCCCCCCCAAAAAAAAACAGGAGGCGCCCAGGACGGCCTAAGCTAAGAGGGCCCCAGGACGGCCCCAAAACGGGCCCCAAAGAGAGGGAACGCGAACCGAAAAGCCCAGCCACCCGCCCCAGAGGCCCCCAGAAAGCCCCAAGAGGTGCCCAAGAAGGCCCAAGAGGCCCAGAGGCCCCCAAGAGGCCCCCCAGGAGGCCCCAAGAGGCCCAAAATAGGCCCCGAGAGGCCCCGCAACGGCACCCAAGAGGCCTCAGAACTACATCCAAGAGGCCCCCGAGAGACCGCCACGAGATCGCAACGAACATCCACTAGAACATCGCATGGCGGCGGGATGGGCCGAAGGCCATTCGATCCGCCGCCCCCTGTCGATTCATCGCAGGGGTGCCTGGCGAGCTAAACCCTCTCGGTTTGGGTTTTGGTTCTTTTCCAAACGAACTCCCCCTGGGGCTTCGGCCCGTCCCGCCAGGGTCCCGGGAGGACTGCCACGGAGCAGGATTTCCCCAAATGTTCCTCCAAGACGGCTGAAGATGGCCTCCAAGATGGCCACGTTGGCCCAAGATGGCCTCCAAGTCCGCCCAAGAGAGGAGGAGATGCGTCCAAGTCCGCCCAAGAAACCTCCAAGACGGCCCAAGACGCCCAAGAGGTGCCCAAGAGACCTCCAAGACGGCCCAAGAGGCCTCCAAGAGGTCCTCCAGGAGGGCCCGAAGAGGCCGAAATCATTGATTTTCCTCAGGTCGTAAAGGTTTTTCGTACTTGCTCCTTTCCGGCTTTCCGACGACCCAAGACGGCCCAAGAGGCCCCCAAGATCGCCCCCACAGCGCCCAAGAGGCCTCCAAGATGGCCTCAGGACTGCCCAAGAGGCCCCCAGAACGGCCCCAAGAGGACACAAAGACGACCCAAGAGGCCTCCAAAACGCCCAAGATGGCCTCTAAGACGGCCCTGGAGCATTCCAAGAGGGCCCCAAGTCGGCCCACAAAGGCCCCCAAAACGGCTTCCGATGGCGTCAGACGGGCCAGGAGCCCACCAAGATGGCCGAAGTTGGCTCGAAGCTGGCCCAAGACGGCACAAGAGGCCTTCAAGAGGGCCTCCAGGAAGACCAGAAAAGGCCAGAAACATTAATGTTCCTTAGGTATTTTCGGCCATACGAAGGCTTCTGTTCGGCCATACGAAGGCCCGATACGGCCCAAGAGCCCCCAAAGATCGCCCAAAGATCGCCCAAGAAACCTCCAAAATGGCCCCAGAACGGCCCAAGAAGCCCCAAGACGGCCCCAAGAGGCCCCCAAGACGGCCCAGGAGGCTTTCAAGACGCCCAAGATGGCCTCCAAGACAGCCCTGGAGCATTCCAAGAGGGCCCCAAGCCAGCCCAGAGGGGCCCCCCAAACGGCTTCCGACGGCGTCGGACGGGCCAGGAGCCCACCAAAACGGCCGAAGATGGCCCTAAGATGGCCAAAGACGGCCCAAGAGGCTTCCACGAGGGCCTCCATGAAGGGCCAAAAATGCCGAAATCAGTGATGTCCCATGAGTTTTGCAGGATTGTGGCATTTGCTGTGTTCGGTCTTCCGACGGCCCGAGACGGCCCAAGTGCCCCCAAAGATCGCCCAAGAGGCCGAAGACGGCCCCAAGAGGCCCCCAAGACGGCCCAAGAGGCCTCCAAGACGGTCAATATGGCCTCCAAGACGGCCCAAGAGCCCCCCAAGACGTCCTCCAAGAAGGCCCGAAAGGGTCTAAATGGCCTCCTGACGGCCAAGGTGACCTTCAAGATGCCCACGTGTTCCCCGAAGGCTTTCCAAACCGATCCGGGGAACACATGGTCCGATAGCTTGGCAGGTCTGGCCTCAACGTTCGACCACATAGGCGTTTCCAAAGAGGCAAGGGGCGGCAGTGATTCGCCGTAGGCGTCTTCGATACTGACATCACGTGCTGGAGTAGCGCCCGATCAAGACTACCTCAATTCTGCACGTCGGCTATCACATCACGTGTGTCACCCCACTGTACACTATGCAAGATACAGTTGTCCATCACTTGTCGAATTCCGCTTATGTGGCCTAGCAAGGTACGCTATGTCGGCTTCTCGTGATAAATGCTGCATAAATTCGAAAACGGACTCTGCATCGATGGCCAGCGTGACCTTTTTTATGCATCGACCACCCATGTCCAATACGCGTTCGAGCTTAGTGGGGCGAATGGTCCCGCTTGGAGTTCGTGCGGTGTCACGATACTAGCAAGATTCCAAGCTGCGTGCCGGTGCCAGCGCGTCCGCTGAATGTCAAGAACGCACCTGTACTCGATGGGGTTTGCAGCTCGCGTTTACCAAGTGTAAGACAGTAAGACAAGGTGTCCACGTTGCCCGTGTCCACGCCTGAATCGGTCAGATTGGCGCCATTTCATGCCATGATGCCCGTTGAGGCGTCCATAACTGGAGTCGCTCCGCGGGTCCAATTCTCCTGTTGGAGGCAGAACTTGGCATGCGGGTATATTTGGGAATGCCTGCAATTTCCTGGTGATAGCACCAAGTCGTCGCACTTGTAGGTTGGTCGGCTCTTGGCCGCGATGTAGACATACCGAGTACACCATCAACCATACTTGGGCGTTCAAGGCGCAAGCCAAAGCACCCCGAAAGCATCTGATTTTGTCCGACGGCGGCGAAACGAAGGCGCTCCGCACCAGCGTTGGGCGAATGGGGGGCGCCGACAGGCAAACTGTCCAGCGCGCAAGAAATCGAGAAGGAGAGGAAGGCGACCGCGCGGGGGGAGAAGGAGGGAGGCGCTCGGACGCGGAGGAATTCCGCGGAGAGCGGGCCAGAGCGGCCAGCCAGGGCAGCGGGGCCCGCGGCAGCAGCCAGGGCCACGGCCGGGGCGCACCTGCGGGCGCTGCCAGGGCGCAGTAGCGGCGAAGAGCAAATAGAACCAGCATGAGAGCCCGAGGACTGCCACCAGCAAAATGATCGGGAGACTCTCCATGGGATCCCCAGGGGATCCGATGGGATCCCCCCCCTGGGATCTTATCCCCCCATGGGATCCCCCCCCATGAAGAGTCTCCCGAAATGATGCACCCACCAGGTGCTTCAACCGAGCGGCGCCCACCGCACCCGCGCAGCAGCCGCGTCCTGGGGATGGGCGTAGCGCCAGGGCGGCACCAGGAGGGCGAGGGGCTGCAAGCAGGGGGCGAAGCAGCGCGGCGGCGCCATGGCAGCGCGAGGCGAAGGAGGGAAGAAGGAGGGAGCGGGCAGAGGAAAAGGAGGAGAGGAGCGCCGCGACCGCGGGTGGCGCCCGACGGGCGGGGCGGCGGCAGCCCGCAAGGCGGCGCGGGCGGCGGCCCGGCCAGGCCTGGGAGGCGCCCGCCGATACAGCGACCAGGCGGTGGCTGCAGCGGGGGGGGGCGGCACGACTGAAGCCAAAGGGCCCGTGGAGGCGCCCGGACACGGGCCCGCGCGCCCACAGCGGCGCGGTGACAGGGCCAGAGGGCCAGGGCGGCACGCGAGGGGCGGTCAGCCGCGCGGGGCGGCGGATGCGCGCCAGGGGAGGAGAGGCGACGGGGGCCGCCTTGGCGGGGGGGGGGACGGAGACGAGAACGCACCGGACGGGCGCAACGACTTGTGAAAACAGGGCTACGTACCGCCCTGGCAGACAGCGCGCAGCCTGAAGAGGAGGGGAAGGGGGAGGCCCACCAGGCACCGGGAGCCCGTGCCTGGGAAGGCACCGAACTGGCGTTGCGGCGCAGAGGCCAAGCCAGGTACGGACGAGGGCGACTGCGCCGTCGGATGTCGCTGCTGTCGCGAGATCGGCGGATCACGCTGTCAAGGTTGGCTTGGCCTTGGGGGATGCGCCGAAGAAGGTAAAAGCCAGGTTTGCGGGAGCCCGCACCGTTAGAGACTGGGGCGGCATATCTGTTAAATGATAACGCAGGTGTCCTACGGTGAGCTCAAAGAGAACAGAAATATCATGTGGACCAGAAGGGGAAAAGCTTGCTTGATTTTGATTTGCAATACGAACACAAACTGTGAAAACATGGCCGCACCCGGGCTGGGTCACTCAGGCCAGGCAAGAATGGCGCGAAGCTTGCTCTTTCCCTTCCACTGCCACCGCCTGCTCCCTTCCCTTCGCCGTCGCTGTCACGACCTTGGGCCATGGAGCCCCGTTGGCGCTGGCGCTGGCAGACCATTTCTCAGTCCACGTGCAAGAGGTCCTAGAAAGGCCCCCAAGAGGCCTCAAAACTGCCTCCAGGAGGCCCCCGAGAGGCCACCAACGAAATCCCAACGAACATCCAATAGGTTTCATACACACACACACACACAGACACACACACACACACACACACACACACACACACACACACACACACGCACACACACACACACACACACACACACACAACCCAGGCACGGTAACAGGATGGGCCGAAAACCATTAGATAAACGGTAAGCCGCCAACCCAGAGACATCCTTGGAGGCGGCGGCGGCAGCAATGAAAACTTCCCTCGGGGAAATGGTTACGCAGTCCTTGGACCACAGAAGCCGCGGGCCCGCGCTGTCGTTCAGGAGCTGCAGAATGCGAGGCTGCTTCTCTTTGGTCTTGAAGCCGACCTGTGGAGCGAGCCAGAAGAACAACATATTAGGGGAGCCAGAGGAGGCGGAGAACTGACCTTCTCCACGTGGACCTCTTCGTCCATGACCTTGGCCATGTACTTGGCGATATTGTTGTCCTTCTTCATTTGCGACCTCGGGCCCGCGAGGGTGACTCCGGGAGAAGGAGGAGCACCAGCGTCTGAACAGGAGCTGAAGAAAAATTGATCAGAGAGATGTGGAAGAGAAGGCGTTGCTGGCGGCCTCTGGGGGCGAACAGAGGCGGAGGAGGAGGAAAAGGAGGAGGAGGAGGAGGAGAAGGAGGAGGAGGAGGAGGAGGAGGAGAGGGAGGAGGGAGGAGGGAGGAGGGAGGACGGAGGAGGGAGGAGGGAGGAGGAAGGAGGGAGGGGAAGAAGGGAGGAGGGAGGAGGGCAAGGAGGACGAAGAGAAGGCGAAAGAGGAAGCAATCACGGGTCCAATTGCACCGGGTCAAGTGAACAGAAAAATCTCGACAGGCCCTTGTTCGAGGCGAGGCCACGCGCACAGCCCGACGTTCCCAGGACAGCAGCAACCAGTACATACAACACACACACACACAAACATCAAAACACAAACACGCACACACAGAAAAACACACACACAAGAACGTACACACACACACACACACACACACACACACACACACACACGCACGCACGCACGCACGCACGCACGCACACACACACACACACACACACACACACACACACACAGCACAGACACACACACACACACACACACACACACACACACGCACGCGCACACACACACAAGAACGTACGCACACACGCACACACACACACGCACACACGCACACACACACACACACACACAAAAAAAAAAAAAACGCACATACACACGCACGCACACGCGCACACGCACGCACATTTCTTGGCGGCAACGGCCCCGCGCGCGGCGACGAGGAGGAGCAAGTCTAGCAGCGGGGCGGACGCGCGCGGCCGGGCCCTGGGCGACTCTGGACACACACACACACACACACAGTACACACACACACAAACACAAACACAAACACACACACACACACATGTTTTTGGTCGGCGGGGCGAGAGCGAACCTCTTCCGATAAAAACTAGGCGGGCTACGCACAGCTTTAATACACACACGCACCGTCGGCTGTAGTCGGCTGAAGAGCTGGCAAAAAAGTAGTGGTATCGCGCACAGGGGACGGTGAACTGAGGGAGGCGCGAGACACCCATTCTGGAGTAACCGCGACGACAGCGGTTTTCCACCTGGCCAGCGGCAAAACATCGAGCTCGATGATGGCGCAAAGACATGGAGAAATACACCTTTGAGCTCACCCGCGCCGTCTTTCAGAATCTCTGCTCGGAGGCCTTTGGATGTCCTTGTTGTCGGGGGCGCAGCCAAGACGGAGCTCTCATCGCCCTGTCAAGCTCTGTCATTCCAAAAGGTGGGGGAAAGTCGCAAGGTCGCTCCTGCAGTGTTCTGCCATTGACCTGTAAAGGTGTTCGCATAGATTGCAAAAAAAAAAAAAAAACATGTCGCGTCGTGCGTTTGGACCCGTTCTGTCTGTCATGCGGGCAGTGGGGGTCCTCTTTCTGCGCGTCTTGACGCCGCCATTTACTCGGGTCTCTGAACTGCTCGATTACGTTTCCCATGTGGGCTTGTCGTGCCCTCTTCCGCGCGCAGATTTCCTGGTGCATGAGCTCGCTCAGTCGCTCGCGGGTTTGGTCGTCGTCGCTGGGAGTCTGGTGACGATGCGCAACAAACGAGAGCACCTGCGATGCTCCTCTCCCTGCCGTCTGCCCGCGTGCGGAAACGCGGCGCTGCTGCTGGCGGCACCGGCGTCGACGCTTTGATGTTGGCCGTGCTCGCCCAACGCTTGCGCGCCAGATGGTAGGACAATACGCTCGGAGGCAATTGAAGGGGCCCCAGGACACACAAATAAATACACACAAATAAAAATATCCCCCATATTTTCCCATACTTTCTCGGTTTTTGTCTTCCCCCCACTTCCCATATTTTCAAAAATTCCTGGGAATCGAGGATTAATTGTGTCTGTGTGTTTCTTCCCCTCCTGAGATACGCTCGGAGGCAGTGGCCGCCGCGGGTGGACACGGCGGCGATACTGCGCGCGCCGCGTGCCGTGGGCTTCGGCACACCGGCGCAGGGCCGAGACAGGGCAGCGGCCGTGCGTGGGGAGTCGTCGAGGGGTGTCTGCAGTGCAGCGTCCGGGTGCGTCTCGAGGCGCCGACCTCAGATCCATCGCGGCCGACGCTCTGGGAGGCGACGCGGGCATCGTCGTCGCCGTCGTCGTCGTACTCTGGCTGCGTCAATCTCCCAACCTGCACGCCGAGGTCACCATCGAGTGCGCCGTGGCATCGCGGTGTGATTCTCTCTCTCTCTCTCTCTCTTTCTCTCGCTCTCTCATTATTCCTTTGCCGCGGGTTTCGCGCACGGCACCGTACATGTGCTGCGAGCGCAAGGCTCCGTAACCACAACGAAATAAGCGTGCTACCACTCATTGTGACTTCATCCGCCCCTGTCTCAACGACTGTGTCGCGAAACGTGGCGAATGTGCTCAAAATCGCTGCACGTGCTTTTGTTTCCCAACGCTCGCGCGACACAATAACAACTCTACGGCGCGGATGTTTCTTGTCAGATCAAGCGAACGGGCGCCATTCCAGGAATCCAGAGGGATAAAGGAGCGCGGGAAAAGCGGGACAGGCAACACAGCTGGTGTAGGACACGCGCACATACATTCGCACATGTTTTCCTCTGGCGCGTCGATGGGGCGCAATCGAATGCCGACGAACAACAACACGTTCTTGTATTTTCGCGGCCGGCTGATCCAGCGCAGCGAAAGTAAAAACAGGACGCGTCGAGAATGCTTACCACTGGACATGCCGACGGGGTCAGTCCGGCGAGCGGTTTGACGGGCGCAGGCATGGCAAGGCCAAAGCCATGCACGCGGAAAAGACGAAGCCATACATAGAAAGGGAAGAAGCAAGACGCGCGAAAGGTTTTTACCGAAACAAAACACACCAGCGTGCAAGGTGAGAGCGACGTCCCGCGATCTGATCACCGCGAACCCAGTGGGGGACGCCACAAAACCTACCCAAACCAGCTCGCGTGGGCCGCCGCGGCTGGCGACCCCTTCGCTTGGACAAGGCTTCGGCCACCGGTTGATCCCGAATGGTCCCTGGAGGCCGAAACCTGACCAGACAAGATCGAGAGGCGTTGCTTATGTGCACACGAAGCTTGTCAAACAACGTCCTGCTGAGAACGTTAGATCAATTCGGGAAACGAAACACCAACGACCAACAGAACCGCTAGTGGTTCATTGTTTTGGTCTGCCGTGCTCCTGTGGTCTGCCGTGTTCCTGGCCTGCCGCGGGTGCCCCGTGCTGGTCTGCCCCGCGCTGGCCTGCCGTGCTGCTGTGGCCTGCCGTGCTGCTGTGGCCTGCCGTGCTATGGTCTGCCGCGCTGCCGTCGTGTGCCGCGCTGGTCTGCCGTGCCCCTGTGAGATCTGCCGTGCCGGGTTGCCGTGATACTGTGGTCTGCCGCGCTGGCGTGCCGTGCTGCTGCGGCCTGCCACGCTGGTCCGCCGCGCTCCTGTAGTCAGCCGTGCTGGTCTGCCGCGTTCCTGTGGTCCACCACGCTCATCTGCAATACTCCTGTGTGTTGCCGCGTTGGTTTGCGCGTTTGCTCGCATTGTTTCTGTGGGTTGCCGATCTGGTCTGCCGCGCTGGCCCGCCGTGATCATATGGTCTGCCGTGCTGAAGCTGAAACTGAAGCTGAAGCTGAAGTGGAAGCTGAGGGGGCCGAAAGCGTAGGAGAAAGAGAAAGAAACAAGGCGGGCCACCTTGGGCCACGCCCCAGGGCAGGGTCACCACGGCCCCCACCCGCCCAGGGGGCCCAGCGGGGAAAGGGCCAGAGCCTCAGAGCCTCCACAGGGCCACACAACTAGGGGCGGAGAGCGCGGCAGCGCGGACGGCCAACCGCACACCGCTCGCTACCGCCGAGGGACCTCGACAGGACAAGCTGCACACATCCCTTAAGGGTTCGCGCCGCAACACTCCCCAAGGCCAACGGGGGAAGCCATCAATCTCGAAAAACGCTGCATTTACGGGTCGTTCGGCTGGCGAACCGGGGACGCCAAAAGCTGCATTTACGGGCCGCTCGGCTGGAGGGCGGTCTCAACGAGGATCACGAAATCCAGCGGGGTTCGATGCTGCCACACAGGGCCCACGGTGGAAGCCCAAATCACGCTCGCCCACCTCCGACCCCGTTTTGCGAAGGCTCGCAGAAACAGTGCTGCAGGCGGAGGCGGGCGGGAAGCAAAGGAGACGGCCCCGGACAGACGGCCAACCGCCGTCGCACGCTCTCCCCCCTAAGAGGACTCGGGGGGCCCACGAGGCGCCTTCGCTTACGCTCCTCTGCCATCGCCTCAACCTCTCCCGCCCAGTCGGCCGGGCCAGCCTCGTCGAGGCCGTGCGCCTGCATGGCCTCAGGGCGGCTGGTCGCCGCCGCACCCGAACCACTGGAGGCCGCAACCGCACCTGCAGGTCGGCCTTGAGCGGCTCCGCGCGGTCTGCCTCGTACGTGGTCAGCGTCTGCCTGCAGACCGCCCACTGGCCCATCACTGGCGACGAGCTCGGCACGCAGGAGGTCTGCCGTGCTGATCTGCCGTGTTCCTGTGATCTGCCCCGTGCTCTCCTGGTCTGCCGTGCTGCCGTGGTCCGCCGCGCTGGTCTGCCGTGCTCCTGTGGTCTGCCGCGCTGGTCTGCCGTGCCGCGCTGCTGCGGTCTGTCGTGCTGCTGTGATCTCCCGTGCTGGTGCGCCGTGCGGCCGCGCTGCCCTGCCGTGCACCCGTGGTCTGCCGTGCTGGCCTGCCGTGCGGCCGCGGTCTGCCGCGCTGGTCTGCCGCGTGCTCATGGCATGCCGTGCTGGGCTGCCGTGCCCCCGCGGTCTGCCACGTTGGCTTGCCGTGTTCCTGTGGCATGCCGTTCTGGCACGCCGTGCTGCTCTGGTCTGCCGCGCTGGTCGCGCGGGGCCCCACGGGCAGCAAGACCGGGGAAAGCGCGTCAGCCCTCGTAACCGAGCGGGGGGGGGGCCCTTTGGGACCATAGGGAAAGA